CTACTAACTCTAATGTGTTGAGTTAGTGTAACATCATTTTCTTGGTATTTTTGAGTAGGCCTGTAATTAACTCAAATTTTTGATAGATATGAACTATTTGCTGGTGAATAAGCAATGATAAATGAAAACTAGTTAATTTACCTCATTTTTAATGTTTCAACAAAGTACTGCTAACTCTAATGTGTTGAGTTAGTGTGACATCATATTCTTGGGATTTTTGAATAGGCCTATAATTAACTCAAATATCTGATTGATGTGAACAATTTGCTGGTGAATAAGCAATGATAAATGAAAACTAGTTAATTTACCTTATTTCTAATGTTTCAACTAATAGCAAACAAAAACAACCTAGTAACAAAGACACTGTGAGCAAATGATCTAAAACCTCCATTAAAAGCATGACAGATATTAGGATATTAGTATAAAGGCAGAATGTATTTATTTATTATGTTATTGGTGTAGTTTATGTATGGTTGATTTTGCTTGACAAAGCATCCAGTTCCCAGCAGTGTTGTTTAATATGTGATTTACACTCTGAGTCAAAGATAGCGCTGCTGAGTCTAACAGTGGTTTCTAAATGCTGTTTGAATAAAAACACAAAGAAGAAGAACGGAACAGAGCAGGAGTCTGCAGCAAGGAAGACCTCATTTAGCTCACCACACACACAGTAAGTATTCTTTTATTGATTTTTAATCACCAAACCTTATCTAAACTGTTTCTGTCTGGCATGGAGAGCTTAGACCTCTGTGATAGATGTTTGTTTTGTGCTGAACTCGAACAGAACTCACCTGTTGTGCACTCAGGTGAGGACTACTGGTTGAGTCAGTTCAAAATGTTCTTAGCAGATATCTTTAGATAACTTTGTCCTTTTTATTCAGTGAAACCAGTAAAGTTGGAGCACATTGTTGTAAGTTTAACAAAGAGGCAGTCAGATGTCACTGGTGGACATAGCTCCTTCAGTTTTACTAAGAGGAGGAAAAATGGGCAAAAAATGGCGGTTTTGTGTAATTCATTTTCATCAGTCAGTTATTTTTGCAGACACCACAGTTGTATTTAGGCTTTTTGTTTACATATAGCTTACCATTTTTGACTCAAAGTGCCATGAATTTCCACAGCATGCAGTGAGTGTGACTTTAACTGTAAACGTTAGACACACACAGCTTTTGTCTGTTTAATAGGAATCAACATTTATCTGAGTCCAACTTACTGATGTTGCTATATTGTCCCTTTGGTTCTTTTACATACAGGTGTATGCAGAGTTTCAACAAATTACAAACCAAAACCTGCCCTGCACATGTTGAGGTTGACCACCATCTGTGTCATCTGATGACCTTATTCAGACACAAGACATCCAAAACTGGGAACATGGATGCTTTGGATGACGGACAGGACAGGTGAAAAGATCATTAAACATTTTAATAGATTAAACTTTGTTGCACTGAGGCATTTGGAAAGAATGAAGAGGATCAGTATCAGTTATTCCTTCTGCTCCATCTTACTAACATCAATAATGTGACTAATAACAGATGAATGTGGGTGAAATGTCCATTCCATTATGAGAGACATGTGCATTTATACACTAGCACAACAGGGTAACTTTGTGTTGATTTAAATGAGAACTATATATTAAATAAGTGGTGTTCCTTGTTGGGAAAAACATGAACTTTGACCTGAACCTGAAAGCTGATCAGACTGCAGGTCAAAGTGAGTCATATCAATTATTTTTGAACATTTGTGACTCTGATTTGGTTTGTGTATCACAGTTCAAGTCCAAGGAAGTAACACTGGGCCTCATGCAAGAACCGTTTGCACAGATTTGTTCTTAAGTTGTGCGTACGAGTGGCATTCACCAATTTTCTTTTATTCTAAGATTTTTTTTTTCAGATACAAACAAAATACACATGTGGTCCAGACCTGTGGTTTAACTTACGTGCAGTCAGTCTGCTGTTATCCTGACAGATTTTCTTCACTAATAATAACTTTATATTTCATTAGTTTGAAGATATTTAGTGTTGAAAATAAATCACAGTCCATAATTATGTTGACAATAGACTATTCTGTTTGAATTGGAATTATAATTTTAAATGTAATAATGTAGACTAACGACATAAATTGGTTAAATTAAATTGTCTATTAATGCTGTTGTACAACACTAAAATATTAACATGAGGATCTTGTAGCATTTTCCTGCATATAATTAATAATTTCTGATTAGATATAACTGGTATTATTTCTGCTTAAAGGAAGAAATCAAATTCACTAACTTCAGACTTTTCTTTCAAGGATTTTGCATGGAACTTTCCTTTGTGCCTCGAATTAGCATCTCTTATACAAATCTACCAGACTTCCTGACTCTTTCTATAGGGCTCTGAGGACTGCCTGCCTGTTTTTCTTCAAAGAGGGGGAAGGGCCATAAACACTTTTAACCAGACTCTCCAGTGACTGAAACAAAGGATCCACATTCTTCATTGAATGTAAAAAATAAAAATAAAAATAAAAAAATAGAAGGAACCAGACTGAATGTTTTTATACAATTGTCTGTTTTTATATCAAAGAAATGTGAATTTACCTTTTCTTATACAGAAAGGACTAAAAAGACCATAAAGGATCTACTAAGTTTTGCTTAGTTAACTAACTGTGTGGTGTTAATTGTTTGATGAAATGTTTTCCTGAAGAAGATGTTTCTTTTATTTCATGATTTTAAACTGTGTTTTATTACATGATTTAACCCTTAGAAAACCTTAGGCTTTGAATTTTAACTAAATGTGACATTAGATGTCTTACCCTTTAATTAGATGCAAGATAATTAAACTAAAACACTCCCTTTTCTTTGTCTTGAAGTAAAGTTTTCCCTCCAAAACATTTGATTTGTTAAAAACTTTCTTATATAAGGTGTAATATTTTTCATTGGTCAGCTTAAAACTTTGACTACACCCATAAGAGGTTTTAAAAGTTAGTGCAGCTCTCAAGACAGTGAGGTTTTTTGAGACAATGAATGAAGAGATCTTTTTAACATCAAGCCAGAAACAGCTTTCACAGCTCAGCAGGGGTCCTCCCTGCCAGCCTTCCCCATGGCTGAACAGGAGGGTACCAGTCATCTCCCGCTGATTGATCGAATAGCTCTCGTTCCATATCGGCTCAGTCTCTGAGTTTGATTTTATAGGAGTCAAATAAGCTAATGGTAA